ATACGCATGCCGTTGATCGACACATATTGGGCTCAGGATGTGGGTCAGATACGGAGGGATTCAGTTTCTCATAGGCTACTTCTGTACTATGCTTTTGCAACTGGTGTCAGCGAAAGAAGCAGCGCCTACACATGAGTGCGGTGTGGCTGCAAAAGCGGTAGGAATCTTAGTGTGCAACGAAAGGATAATTGATGCTTCAGCTGTCAGTGTAGGGTGGGGAACCCGGCTTGCTGCTCTGTCCTGGCGCACTCGCACTCGCATCGGCGAGCTCCTGTTGAGCTGCAAACGCCGTGACCTCCGGTGCAATTTGTACTGCAGCTTAAGCAGGTGTGCTTGAAGCTGGCGCAGAGCCTTCGCCACTGGACGGTCCACCTGTGCCTGAGACCAGATCTCAGAATTAGCGGTGTGGCTTTTGTGCGACGGCTGTCTGAGGATGGTACTGCTGTCGCTTGATGACGTTGCGTTAAGCTGCTAGACCCCATTTCCTCCGGACCGTCGGCGGCATGGCAAGGATCATCTTGGCAGGCAAGCAAGGCCTGATTGACAAGCTCCTGTGCTTGGTGCTTGATGCGGATCCTCGGCCCTCTGTGCTTGCAGACGCTCGACAGCGAGGCTTATAGCCTCAGCAGCGATCTGCAACCGCTTGCAGGAACGTTGCAAAATGCCGTGACAGCTGGGGTACCAGCTGGCACTGCCGAGTGCCGAAGGCTCATTGTGGCGTGCAGTGGCCCGTGCCCCGCCTGACGCATCCTGACGCCATCTTGACACGCCTATTTAGCACAACCCCTGATTCCCCTGTGCGGGTGCGGATGACGTCTATCTGAGTCTATCTGGCTGGGCTGTAGTAGTGGTAGGTGTGTGTGTGTGTGTGTGTCTTGGTTGTGCATGCCACGTGTTGAAGGCCGTGAGGCCACAAGTTGACACCAACGTGGGCAGTTCCCGGGGAAGCCGCGCAACCTACGTGCAGATTCTCAGCCTGCAGACTGGAATGAAGTCCCGGCTACAAGCGCATGATGCCGCTCGGGCGTTTGTCGCAGTATGTCACGGGTCGAAGCCGAACAGCACTTTCTGAAGTAAGTTCTCAGCTGACATGTTGATAAACCGCCACCATCTCAATCGGCAAACCCGTTGGCACAAACATGGCTTGGACATCCAGGAGTCGGCCTGCGTGCATCACCTCTCGTGCGGACACGTCCCCTGGCTCGTCTATAAGTCCGTTGGACATGTTTTGGGAGGCCGTGTTGCAATTCATTCGTTCGTGCCTCGCCATGTTTCTTCCCCGCCAAGCTGGTGGGTCCCATACCAGGCACGGCGCCATCCTGACCCCACCTGTCTGCTGCATGAGTCTGATTGCATGCAGGGTATGGAGGGGGTCATGCCATGCTTATTAAGTGTTACCGAGAATGGGCCTGTGGCGCTGCTCGACCTAGAGCAGAGAGCGTGGGGGGGTTTTCAGAGGCTGGGGTCGGAAGGCACAAAGGCTCTCGGGGCTGCCCGTGCGGTTGACCGTGTGCAACCTAGCATAGCTTCTTCTAACCCACTTGCACTGCTTCCTGGTAGCACCGACACCTCGGTGGGAAGCATGTGCGGTCTTCCCCGGCTCCAGCCTGAATAACCCCAAGAGATGATCCTGTGCGGTGCTGAGGTTGGGTCCCATGAGGTAAAAGCTGGTCTCCGACCTCGTCTCGGATTCCGCATCATCAGCAGCTGCTGCCCTGTGCACGTCGTCATCAGCCGATGCTGAGTCGTCATCGTCGTCGGCTGGGGCAGGGGAGGCCCCTAAGGCCACGCCTTGTTGCAGCTCTCCCAGCATGAGATTCGTCCCCAACATGTGCAGACTGCAAATGAACAAGCTGAGGCGGGGAGGCCGTAATAAGGGACCGCGGGCTTGGCGGCCCCTGTCGCTGATCGCACGGGGTTCTCCCGGTGTCACGTTCGGCAACCTCCATGGGATCCTTGCAGTCATTTGATGACGCGTCATGTTCCAGCATCTTCTTTCGCCAAAGACCAAACCGCAAGGACAAACCCCCCAACACGCAACAAAAGACGAATCCACGATCATCATCATCATCGTCATCCTCATCATCATGACCATTATGATCATCATTTAGTTCTACGGCATCACCATCACCATCGTCATCATCATCGAGCCACCGACCATCAATCATTATTCATCATCTTAATCACCGACAACAACAGCCTCACGATCGTCTTCATCACCATCAGCATCATCACGAACATCAATCTCATCGTCGTCACCATCGTCGACGTCAGCGGCAACGTCAATGTCCCCGCCATCATCACCATCATGATTGGTAGTCAGCCGCCGCCCTGCGCAACAGTAGAGATTTTCTGGTTTGTCTCATGTGATCTTCACAGATGTGCGTTGCACTAGTGTTGCACTAGGGTCGCGTATCCTTTTTGTCTTTTTTTGTGTCAAAAGGTCTTCTTTTATGTCTGATTTGATGTCTCGGCTCACACATTGCAATGTCTCGGCCATGTCACGGCCACTGTGAGGCGGCTACGACAGAGGACATCATTTCAGGCCTAGGCCAAATTATAAACCCGCTCACACATTGCATTGTCTCGGCCATGTCACGGCCATTGTGAGGCGGCCACGACAGAGGACATCATTTCAGGCCTAGGCCAAATTATAAACCCGCTCACACATTGCATATGCCCCCTTAAACTCACTATACCCCCTGAACGTCTCCCTAAACCCTCCTAAGCCCTTAACCCTAATCCCTAAACCCGAGCGAACCCTGAATCCGAGTGTCGGCGGCGGGTCACGGCCGAGTCTCGGCCAAGCGTAAGTCCTGAACCCTAAGTCTTGTATCCTAAACCCTTAACCCTAAACCCCTAAACCGTACGACCAAACCCTAAACCCTAAACCACAACCCTAAACCCTAAACCCTACACCCAAACCCTAAATTCTAAACCACAACCCAACACCCTAAACCCTACACCCAAAGCCTAAACCCTAAACCACAACCCAAAACCCTACATCCTAAACCCTAAACCCTCCTAAGCCCTTAACCCTAATCCCTAAACCCTAGCGAACCCTAAGTCCGAGTCTCGGCTGGGTCACGGTCGAGTCTCGGCCAATCGTAAGTCCTGAACCCTAATCCCTATATCCGAACCTTAACCAAAAACCCTTAAACCGTACGACTAAACCCTTAACCCTAAACCACAACCCTAAACCCTAAACCCTACACCCAAACCCTAAATTCTAAACCACAACCCAACACCCTAAACCCTACACCCAAAGCCTAAACCCTAAACCACAACCCAAAACCTTACATCCTAAACCCTAAACCCTCCTAAGCCCTTAACCCTAATCCCTAAACTCTAGCGAACCCTACAACCCTAAACCTTAAACCCTACACCCAAACCCTAAATTCTAATCCACAACCCAACACCCTAAACCCTACACCCAAAGCCTAAACCTTAAACCACAACCCAAAACCCTACATCCTAAACCCTAAACCCTCCTAAGCCCTTAACCCTAATCCCTAAACCCTGGCGAACCCTAAATCCGAGTCTCGGCCGGGTCACGGCCGAGTCTCGGCCAAGCGTAAATCCTGAACCCTAATTCCTGTATCCGAAACCCTTAACCTTAAACCCCTAAACCTTACAACCAAGTCCTTAACCCTAAGCCAGAACCCTAACCTAAACCCTAAACCACAACTCTAAACCCTAAACCCTACACCCAAACCCTAAACCCTAAAGCACAACCCAACACCCTAAACCCTACACCCAAACCCCAAACCCTAAACCACAACCCAAAACCCTAGACCCTAAACCCTAAACCCTCCTAAACCCTTAACCCTAATCTCCAAACCCTGACGAGCCCTAAATCCGAGTCTCGGCCGGGTCACGGCCGAGTCTCGGCCAAGCGTAAATCCTAAACCCTAAACCAGAACCCTAAACCCTAAACCTTACACCCAAACCCTAAACCCTAAACCAGAACCCTAAACCCTAAACCTTACAGCCAAACCCTAAACCCTAAACCGTAAAGCTTCAACTCTACAAACTTGAAACCCGTGCAAAACTTCTCAACCCTAAACCTTAGAACCGCACCCTAAACATGTGAATGTGTGACAACAGACATAAAAAAGACATTTTAACACACAAGAAAAGACATTATTGATCCCAGACTCTTAAGTTGCACTAACAAGGAGAACAGATATGTTCCGTATGGCCTATATATAGCGTGGACCGACCCGTCTGCTTCCTTTCCGTTTTCTGCACGGCCCAACCTTATAATCACGCCGATCAGCGACGCCGTGGCACAGTAGCACGCTCGCCCGGAAGCATGTCACTCGGTGCGGCCACAGAACTGTGCACGAGGATGCCGAAAAACACTAGAGTGCTTGATCCAAGGTCCTTCAGTAGTTAAGCGGTCAACAGGCTGTTCACCCATGGGCTCAGTCAGGTTGTCGCAGCAACATGTGTTAGATTTATATACGATCAGGATGCTGCCGCCACAATCTGCTTGGACCAGGCCGAGATCGATTAGTTCTGGAAAATACACATCTGCTGTTTCACGCTTTGGCTTTTGCGGACCAGGCCCAGTACTCCCCGTACCGTCGCAGTTCTGGGCTTTGAAGCCTCCATTTGGGACATGCCCTGTGCCTGTTCGCTGCTCGAAGGTCCCAGCTGCATGTTATCGCGGGATGGCGGCTCCTCAGGCCCGAAACAAGACCGTATGTTTCCTCCTTTTGGTCGACTGAAGTTTGATGATCTGAACATGCACACCTGGTTTTGAGTGAGGCTGCCAGGCCTCCTGGCCATGTGGTCGTTGTTGCTTGGCTGCCGCATTTTCTCTTTCGTGTCAGCAAGGTTGGAAGGTGTGAAAGGCCCATGCGAGTGTTGAGGTCAGAGAGCTCTCGCCGGGTAGGCCAGTAGCCGATGCTATTTTTTGTGTGGCTTCCGCTAGACTTCGCACAGTATCACATTGTGCTAGCCACTGGTTCGGGTTAGAAATTCCCTCAAGGCCGATGGCCTATGCAGCACCTGCAGCTCCGCAAGCTGTCTCACCCACAGTTTGTTCGGCTGAAGCCCAAGTATGCTTTTAAGATGTCTGTCAGGGTGTTGCCATGCCAAGCTAAGGTCGCTCCAGCTTCTGGACAGTCGGTTCAGTCTCAGGCTGCAATCTCAGCCATGTCATTTCCGTGAGTCCGGAGTTGCATACTGCATATAAGCACCCAGGGGCAGATGTCTCCACCAGTGCTGCTGCGGCCACGTTCGCTGTCCCCAACGCCAGCTGCGAGGCGAGTAATGTTGGATTCTATGTCAACTCAGGAGTTCATGATATTCCATGCCCGTGCAATGTCAGGCCACCTGCAGCTACCCCATCCTGTCCCCAAACATGCCAGCCGACACCCAGAACGCAAAGCTCGCATCTGGGACGTTTTGCTGGTGCCTTCCCGACTGGCTCAACACTTGGATGTTACAACCTTTCCAGGGCTTTCATTGCTTGATGTTACTCTTCCTTCCTAAGGTTATGTGTCGACCACATCACCTCGGAGAGAGCGTTCTCTGTCACCAGTGGGCTTGCCACCTGCCAGACGCCCAATTGGAATCCACATAGGATTGATATCTAGCTGATTTCGGGGCAACTTCTCAGGTTCCGGTGCTTTCTGGAATCGGGGTGTCCAACTCAGTTGCGCTTCCCGTCGCTGAGACTAAGACATCCAGAAATTTCCTGCCACGGATGCTGATGGGTGACCACACATCCTCTTGAATGTCATGCGGCCACTCTCCTTTGATTGGTTTTTTGCGAACGTTGGCCATACGGTTGTCGCCTGCTTGCTTTCCTTGTAACGGCGCGATTTGTCGTGTTGTGGTTCGTGTTGGCGAATTGAAGCATGTGTGAGGCCGCAGCACCCACAGCACTCGCAGCACCAAGTCCTCAAAAGTGCTTGTCACCTCGTACAGCCGTATCCTCAGTGTCAGCTCACGAACGCGCAAATCTGGGAAGAGTTCGGTTGCAATGCCATGTTCTGCAGGTCATTGTTCGTCACGCAACGCCGCGTGCTTCAACAAACGTTCCTAAAGCCCAGAGCCCTGTGGCAGCCTGACATCAGTTGTCCTATCGAAAGCAGCCGGCAAGTGTATCAAGTCTTGCCTCGACGCCGCGAGGTCCAGGTCTTGGTCACGCCTCGGGCCGTGCCAGCAGTGCCGCGGGCATCCGAGAGAGCAACACTTGTGTGTGAGACGTGAATGTGACATATGTGACATATTGTCTTTCTGTCAGGTCTGGCAAAGGCCTTGCAACCCCTGGAGGTATATTAGAAGGCGATGAGACAATGTGCAGTGTTCCCACATGCAGCTTCTGGGCCCCTCGCCAGCCGCGCAGGCCTGCGCGCGGTTCCAACGTTTCCAAGGACAGCCTTCGGCGTCTTCGTCTAGCGCGCGTGCATCGATCGACACATTATGAGGACCATTCTGCAGCCACATGCGGGGAATGCGCCAGGTGGGATTTCTTCAAGCTGGAGCAACTGGATGGATAGTGAGCAATAGTGAGTTGCAAAGTCAGGCGGGCAAGGTGTTCGACGCGCCGCCTCCCACGGAGCTGTGAAAGCTCATAGGCGCGGGCTGGAGCGGCCCAAATTCAGAAGGCTGTGTCTGTGTCAGCATCTGCGCAAGGACTGGCCCTGCCGTGCTTCCTCCGAAGAGACCGGTCTCAGGTGCGAGCCGGAATCCGGAACGTGTGGGTTGGTGCAATTCGAGATGATCGAAGAGAGGTGTGGCCAAGGAGCCGTTTAGCGAGTGCCCCGCTCGGCTTCGTTGCCACAAGGGTGATGCGTGCTGTCAGTGCCGTTTAAGGCAGACTGCTGCCGGACAACTTCCTCCGAGAGGGACAGATGACGCAGCCGTGCAACCTGCAAGCCTGAGCTGGAGCCGGATCCATGGAGTGCAGCTCAAACCTGGGTAGGACGTCCACACTGGCAGACACGGTTGGGACCTAATTCGATCGGTGTTTTCGTGCAGACGAGAGTCAGCAGACTCACCAGAGCACGATATTGTTTGCAAGGATCAGTTCTTCGCTGATGGGGAGAAGAAGGCGGCTCGTTTCTGCTTATGTGCTTCGCAGTGGCATGTGAGGGAACCCGACGAGTCTAGATGTGTGTTGGGCATTGTAGCTCGATGAGAGCATGACGGCTTCAGCGGGGCTGAAGTGTTTTGATCCATCCCAGAGGTTTGTCAACAGCCTGGTACAGGGGTCATCACCTTGCCATGAGGCACAGCAGAGGATTCTTGGAAGGCATGCTTCGGGCTGGCATAAATGCCACGATTAACTATTTTGAGATCGCTTGCGAGACAGGGACCGACACACGTCGTACGGAGCTGGGTGCATTGCAGACGGTCTTCGCAATTGGGACACCCGGACCGCATTCTGGCAGCCGCAAGACAGCATAACGACGAAGAGGTTATCTTCCAATACGATGTTTGGAGGCAAGGAAGCACATCGATTCAGGCTGGTCGGCCTGTCGTAGGAAAGCTGGCGCACGCCGCAGTTCTCTCAGCCTGTGAACGTCTCAGCCTGTGGTCAAAAGCTGCGGCGATTTTGCAAGATGCGGCCTTGCGCGGAGCGCTACAGCCAGACGGTCGCCCTCTGGTGGACTTGGTCTCCTTCAACCTGGTTTTGGGGGCCTACGCTGCAGCTCATCAATGGGCAGCAGCTCTGGATCTCTTCATTGATATGCAACGTACGGTGACGCCAGATGCTTCCTCTTATGCTGCGCTGATTGAGGGTTGCAGAAGTGCGCGCAAGTATCACATCGAACGAATCGCGTCCAAGTGGTCCAAGCAATGCTTCGAAGAGACAGTGTCGAAGATCAATGAACGGAAAACTTCCTCTCGCTACTGCTATTTGTCCCTGAGAACGTTAGTCAAGCGGCAGCTTTGGTCAGAAGCTGCAGATTTGCTGTGGCAACTTGCACGTGCTGGGCGAGCTCTCGACACGGAGCTTCTAAACATCGCCATCTCCGCGTACGCGCGCGGCCAGCAAGCCAGGACTGCCTTGACGCTCCTGCGGAAGGCCCAGGCCCAGGCCGCCCAGGAGGCCGGGGCCCGGCCACTGCTGCCGGCACTGCCGCTTGCGCTGCCGGCTGCGAACTTGGAGAGCTTCAAGCTGGCAGCTCTCTCATTTCCTCCCGCATCTGCCTTCGCAAAGTCGGGCTTGCCTGGATGGCCGGAAGCCTTGATCCTCCTGCAAGACATCAATCGCTCACGGCTGCAGCCGGACATGCAGACCTTTACAATCGTTGCAGGTGTGTGCTCTAGGGCTCACTCATGGCACGCAGCTCTGAGGGTGCTGGAGGCAGCTGGACCTTCTCTGGAGTGGGATATCTTTGCATACAGGGCGGTTCTCCAGGCATTATCGCGCCATTCAGTTGAATCTGACATGAACTTTAGGACAGTCTGGCGGCAACTCCATCATCAGCAGCTCAGTCCCGACACTATCACATATGGCGCAGCCATCGCACTCTGTGATCGGTCGCACAAGTGGGCCGATGCCCTGCACTTGCTGGGCGAGATGCAGCACCCAACAGCTGTCTGCTTAACCTCTGCTTTATCAGCTTGTGCCAGAGGTGCTGCATGGGAGTTGGCAGTTCATCTGTTTTGGACGATGCCCGAACAATGGGGATTCCGCCCGCATGCAGCAAACATGGTCAATGCTCTGCATGCTCTGGGCAAGGCCCTTCGCTGGCAACAGGCTTGTGCCTTGCTTTTTGAGTTGGAGTGGGCGGATGAGCATATCTCCTGGCAACACTACTTCGCGGTAGCCGACAGTTGTGGTGAAGCCAGTGAATGGCAAAAGGCTTTGCAACTCGTCTTCGAGAAGCTTCCAGGCAAGTTTGAGTTTCCTCCAAGCTACCGCTTCAGTGCAGCAATCGGTGCGTGCAAAAGTGGCTTGGTTTTCTTGGAGTCGAGTGGCAAGAGTGCTGCTGAAGTTCGCTCCTCGTCCATCTGGGAGACCGCTCTGGCACTGTTCTGGTCCTTCGAGGAGGCTCTGCTGCCAGAATCCGAGGCTGGATTTTCCCAAGCTAAGCATAGCATTGCATAGCTGTGCGGCATTAAGAGGTTTGTGGTTTAAACCAATTGTTGTTGCATCCCGAGCCAAAGGTGGCAATTGGTGACGATGCCACGGTCTTGAGTGCTACCATCTCCACACTTGGCCAAGTGGCATTGTGGGAGAAGGCTCTCAGCATTTTTCACCAGGTTCCAACCGGCAAGATCACTGAGGTAGACCACATGACGATCATGGTCGCCCTTTGCAGCGGAGGTCAACGTGCTCTTGCTCACCAAATGTTCAAAGACAGCGCACAGAGAGGCTTGACGACACTGGACTTGCACCACATGCCTGTGGTGGTTGCAGAGCTGGCAGTGGAGACTGCGCTGGACGATGTGAAAGCTGGCATGCTCGACTCTGACGTCCTGCTCAACATCATCACAGGGCGTGGGGCTCGCAGCGCAGGCGAAGCCTTGGTCCGGCAAGCTGTTTTGAGGATGCTTGAGGCAAGGTCGGATGTGAGGCTTCAGCCCAGCCAGAATCCGGGACTCGTGACGTGCAAGATTTCTGGGAAAAGGCTCCGCACTCTTGCGGGCTAATCTCGTCCATGGTCAGCTGCATGCCTAGGCCTCTTTCTCCTAAGCAGCTGCACCTCCCATCAAGAAATTCCAGCTGCCGAACGGGATTCCAGATGATTCCAAGCTGTTTAACCCCGCAATTGAAACCCGTCCAGAGGATGCCTGGTTCCTGGCGTTCAATGGCGTGCTAAGCGAGCTCGGGGCCGTGGAGGCATCGATTGCCCTCGTGACCTCCTTGCGACTATTTCTCGCCAAGCCCGCAGGCGACCTGCCAACAGCTCCTCGCAAGACTGCCCCCTGCCCGGTCGAACCCGGAATGCGACAGCCAATAGGCTCAATAGGCTTCCAGAACTATGGAGTGCACAAGAAGAGAAAGAGAGGGGGAACAGAATAGCCACGAGCTGGGAACTTTCGAAACCTTTGAATGCTTTAGGCATTCGGGACCTTCCGTTCGCTGGGAGGACCAGCCCTGCATGACGGAGGGAGGGGCAAGGCAGATCAGCAGCCTGGCGTCCGAGGAGCTTGTCAATCTGGATCCGGTCGTTCAGCTCTTGGGCTCCACGGGCTCCACGGGCTCCACGGGCTCCACCGCTCAGCAGGTTCAGGCCAGAAAGCCAGGAAGCAACACGCTTGCTGCCTTGCTGGTGCGCATTGACCGCGAAGCAGATCCCGAGCAGGACGACCAGAGCGGGCCGGTTCGGAACTGCCAAGGCAGATAAAACCGTGAGACACACTCCAACGACCTGCGGAGTGATACGAGGCTGGTGGCGAGCTCTTCTTGCGAGGCATGGCCTTTATGGCCCGGGTAATGCAACTCGGCTGCACTCAAATCTCTGCCGAAGATTCGTAGTGTCGCAGCGGTGGCGGCTCTGGAGGCGATGGGTGTTCCAGAGCTGACAGAGCTGGTGACAGATGCGTTGCGCTTTCTGCACAGCACTCAGAGCGTCTCAGAGAAATCTCCGGCATGGTGTTCTGATGTCAATGCATGCAACCTAGGCGAGATCGACATGCACCGGAGGCACTGGCACTTCGGTTGCTGCTCCTGTTTTGGACGTGCAAATGCAACAGGCATTTTTGCGAAATCTTCGCACTGTGCATTCTGGATCGTACTGCCGTCTGGTGTTGCCTTGAAGTGCTCGTTGGCAGATGCTCTACCGGTTTGTTTGATGCCAGGAAACGTCTGAAGGAGCTCTACGGTAGTTTCGAATTTCATGCCCGAGGAATGATGGGCAAGAGCTACAGGCACACTCCGGGAGCTTTACTTGCAGCAGATGCGTGCAGCATGCATTAACATTTGATTTTTTGTCTCAGCATGCGACACGCTCTCTTGAGCAGTGTTTGCATTCGGCAGGGAGCGTAGGCCTGTCAGCCTGCAATTTGTGTTCTTCTGTTTAGTGTCTCCCAAACCAGGTGTCGAAGCAGACTCACGCGGGAGGAGCACATCTGCCGGCAGGCCGTGCTTGAGGTTTCTTGCATGCCTTTGCAGATCATCTTGCGCAGATTTGCGTATTAAGTTTGGAAAGCTCCGCTGCAAGAGCCGGTTCGCCCTTCCATGGAAGAACCTGGTACGTTTGCGGAGACTGCAAAGGCGCAAAGTGCCAGGTCCGGATAAGTTTCCGACGGAATTTCTCAAAGGTCTGGGGTCATTGCACCCACAGCTTCTCCTGATGTCCGTGCCCTCATCCTTGCTGGGCTGCTTAGAGGTAGTCACGCCGGTAAAAAGTACCTATGTAAAGTCGCGGCCTGTGCTTCAGTTATGACATATGCCATATATGCGCTCATTCGCGACTAAAAGCCGACCACCGCAATCAATACTCAGAATTTCTCCCTCAAGCGGCACAGCGGGACCTGAAGGTCTCTGCTATCGGGTCCCGCTCTCGGATGTCGTTATAAAATTAGTTTATGCGTCCACTACCTGGACACGAAGTGTAATGAGCACATAAACATCTCCGCAAATATTTCTGGGGCCATGAAGGCCTCGGCAAAGTTTGCCGGGCGCGGCGCGGTGCGCGGTAGAAAATTAATTAACCTAAGGGCGTGGCGCCGTGCGCGGCAGCATCCCTTGACACTGCCGCGCACTGCGCCGCGCATATATGCTGTTCCCTCCCAAGCCAAACTGCTGCCGCGCAAGGCGCTGTGCATCTCTGACGTAGCCTTGTGCACCCACACCCACACACACCCACCCCCACCCCACCCGAACCCACACCACACCCACACCCACACCTACACCCCCCAAACCCACACCACACCCACACCCACACCCACGCCCACGCCCACGCCCACACCCACACCCACACCCACCCAAACCCACACTACACCCACACTCACACCCACACCCAAGGCCCCGCTTGGGGGCTGCTTCAGTGGCCACATCCAAGGCCTCCAAAAAAGCAAAACCAGTTCCGCTGCCTACATGACCTAAACACCTTCATTCTCAGGACTATCTGGCGGATGCAAACTCATCTTTTTGCGTGACAGCTGCAGCTGCACAAGCGGGTAACGCAAGCAAAAGCAGAAAGAAGCAACCACTGGTTTCAATGGCACATCTACAAGCAACTACTCATCGGAACCACTCTCAATGGTTTCAATGATGCCCTCATCCTTCTTGGCACTTGCCCGGTCTGCCAGAAAGGGTGCCAAAGTTGCCCACGATGCTCCACCACTCAACTCTGCACTCCGCAAAGCTCCGAAGACCTGGAACAAGTCTCTTCCCGACAACCAATAGGCAAGTTGGAAACAGCGCACTCGTTCGTGCAAGTGCTGCTCCATGTTGGCGGCTGTCTGAAGACTGGGTCCAGCCGTGTTACACGGCCTGCGGCCAACTTCGCGTCGGAAGCTGGCAAAGAAGCCATCTAACTTTGTGTCCCACCTTGTCTCTCCTCCTGAACCCAAGCAGAGCCAGTCCACACCTTGACCTGAAATGTCTTTGCAAACTCTGGCCTCGGTGGCTTGTGTTTCACAGCAGTGTGGGCCAAGTGCAAATCCGAAAACTCGGCATCAAAGACTTCCCTGTCCAGCAAGGGACTGTCCACGACTCCGAGCTGTTTGTAAGTTCGCACTCCATCTGTGTGGCAAACGGAATCCTGGCAGATCCTGCTGTCACCATCTTCCAACAAGATTGCAGACTTCAATTCCTCCAAACTGATTGGACCACCGCCGCCTTGGCCGCCTTCGGTGATGCGGTATGGCAGTTGAGTTAGCCAGATTTTGCTGCTTCCACGCCTGGCAATTGCGAAATAACGGATCCAAACAACTCTCTCGCCGACTGTTTTGCTGCGAAAGCTCATCTCGTCGAGCTCCACATCACAACCTAATCCTCCAAGATGTAAGGTATTGTTGAGTCGGTCCATGATCGGAGTGAGAAACTTTCGGAAGTTGTCGAAGAGTGTTCTTGTAGAGCGATGGTCAATGCCAAGCACAAGGCCTGATTTGTCTGGTGACAAAGGCAATGGAGCACAAAATATCCACAAGCTTCCGAGCAGACTGCGCAAGGCCACTTTGAACATCTCCAATTGCAGTAGTGCTGTCTCTGCTCAAGTTTCCAAGCAGTCTGTCCACAGGAACACTGCTCAGTGTCAAGATGCCCACATCAATCGCAATTTCGGTGAGTTGATGTGAGGATTCCGTCCAAGGAAAATCGCTCTTTCTAAGACGATCTGGACAGAGTGGCTTGCCGTCCCCGTTTTTGGTTGGGGCTGTGATCACGTGTGTATGGCACTTTGTCTTTCCGCTGCTTGGTTTTCAAATGCTGCTTCTGGACAGGGAGAACAGGATCTGTGGAAGAGCCTGCCCCACTTCCTGCTGCCACAAAAGGAGCAACAGTTTCCACATCCTCAGCACGAGCTCCAGGCAAACGCCTTTTCAGCAACCTGGCCTTTGATTTGGCCTGCGGGAAGTCGCGAACACGACGATCACGCCCGTGTGCACCCATAGTGACACGCCCTCCACTCCACCGCGCAGCCATCGCAGAATTTTGCGATGCAGCAGTGCGAGCCATGACGAAGACTGGCAGACAGAATTTTGGACAAAAATGCTGCAACCATCTCAAACATGCAACATGTGCAAAACTTGGAGCCAAACTTGTTCTATTCTGCAACTAAAAAAGCTCTTTGCTAAATCATGAGCTGTGACTTCCAAAGCTCTGCAACACACAGAGTCCAGATCTCAACCTCTGCCGTATTCTTGCAATTTGTCTTTCGTCCACTCTGCGTCAGTTTCGAGTGGTCTGCACCATTCACAAAGAACATACTGACTGCCAGTCTAATAAAGAAAAACACTGACTGCCAGCCTATGAGTATAATTACACAGTTGAGACAATCTGTTTTGTCGCAGACCCTGGCAAAGTTTCGAGTCTGCATGTTTTTGAGGTATTTCTCCATTAACCTCTTGGGCAACCACCTGGAAGCAAACTGCCGCTTGCTGTGAAACTCCAATAGATCTGTAGCATGCTGTGTGGCAGACCAAGAAGGCGCAACAAAGCCACATTAAACGCCGCTTGCCGTGGAATGCCAATGAATGTGTAGCGCCATGTGCGGCAATGTCTGTCGTGCACTGTGTCGCGCCTGCCGATAGTCTCCTCTGCTGAAACACGGCTTTGTGCGGTTCGTTTGTCGCTTGGTGGTACAATCGATACTGTGCTCCTAGAGTCCTAGAGCTGCTTGCAACCACGGAGACATAGACACCAATAGTGTCGGGGCCCCAATGGGCTTGGTCACCCCAAGATGCAGTCAAGCGGAGGAAGTCACAGTCTCGAGGCTGATGCCAAACCCATGCCCTGCTGTGCAAATCATGTTGGTTACACCGTTGCTCCAGCCGTCGCGGTTCGCTAAGAACACGGCATGCAGCCTCGCACTTTCTAGTATGAGAGGACAGTAGTACAACATGTCCTTATGTATGTCAAGTGGTCGGACAAGGAGCCGCCAACCGCAAAACCCTGCCCATCCCTGCCCCTGATGCAAATGGGACCTAAGTAGTCGACCTGTTACCTGCTTACATTCTTTGGATTGATCGCTTCAATATTGCTCCTCGACGGCCAAGTTTGTCAAGCAGCCTGCACTGACATCTACAGCCTCATTGCGCTTGCAGGGGTTCCAGAAGCTTTACCTGCATCACTGTCTTACCTAAAAGCACCGTGGACCCGGACTGATAAGAAGCTGGCAGTAGCTGAATCCAGACAGCTTGTCAGGTGTGCAAAGACAAAGTTGCAGCTCCGTCTGATCTGGTTCGCGCCGAGGCCACGTGATTCCAGATTCAGCGCTCGCCGCTAGCAGCTGACATCCCCATGTGAAGACGAGCAGGTTGAGATGCTGAGAAGCCTCGAGCATCCGAGTGTACCGCAGGTGCGCTGATTTTGTCGCATGTGGTTTTGGAGGCGGAGTTGCGAAACTCTCTGCCCTGAATTCCAGCAGCTGGAATCAAGAGGTCATCGCTAGCTTTGAAGACTTCAACAACATCTACATTGTGTCAGCCGCTCAGCAAGCCATGCTGGGGTGGTAAGGCTGGCCGTAGAACTGCCATGTTTACACCTGCTGCAGCTCGCGCAGCCGTCGACAGGCTTGGATCAATCTCTTACAGGCTTGCCGGAGTCAAACACTATGTGACAAAAGCACAACTTCGGGTATACAGAGACATGACCGCCGACGACAGGACACTTTGCAGGGTAACACCTTGCGAACATTACAACCTCTGACTGCACATATGGGGCGATGTTTGATTGCCTCGCTAGCAGTGATCAGCCTTGGCTTCGTCTGCATACGGGGACACAGCCTTCCTACCATTGACTACTTGAACTTGAATTTGGAGTCCAAGTTCCTCCTGGAAGCATTCGCGAAAGACGGAATCCTGCTTGTCCCTGGTGTACCAGGGTATGCTGCCGCAAGGACAGCAGCCCTGTCAGCGCTGGCACCTTGTCTCAATAGCGCTCGAGGAAGTGACCAAGTTGTGAGGAGGCTCCTCGCAGATGGCTCGGAGAGGTCCACGATTGCCACCAAGACTCACGGACACGCATTGCAGCCCCTATCAGTCGGATGTCCGGACTTCCAGCACAAGGCAGACATGCTTAGGACCGTGGTGCACATTGCGCTGGCTGAAGTTCTCCGTGTCTGGGGTCAAGCTGGAATTTCTGCAGAAGAACGGGTGATCCTCCGACACGATGCTGGCCATGCATACACGAGTCTCGCAGAGGCCGCTTCAGATGCCACGCACTTGGAGCATTTCCATTTGTATTCAAGCAAGAATGCTGATGAATCCAATGCCAGTCTTGGACTTCACACGGATGCCGGTTTGCTTCTTGCCTTCACCTCACCTTTGTACCAGTCAGATCATGCCAGTGGACTGTGGATCCAGCGTACCTCCTCAACAGAGTCTGTGGAATTGCCAGCAGATGCGATTGCTTTTGTTGTGGGTGAGGCAGCAGGCTGGCTTCCTTGGGCCAGCCGTGCTTTGCCCCACGAACTGCGGCTCTCGCCGCGCATGTCAGATCGAGCGTGGTATGGTATCATGACGCGTCTACCGGAAGACGCAGTGAAGACCTCCAACTTTGACCCTGCTTCACAGCATCAATTGACATTCGGCCAATGGTGGGACGCGGCTGCTAACTCTTTGATGTCAGAAGGCACGGTGGGCTGCGGTTCTGCACATGCAGCAGACCCGACCCACAGTTGTCCAGAAGGTGAGGCCTACTGTTGGATGCAATGCATGATGCTTCCGCCAGCCTGTACGGCCACGACGGCGCATTGCGTACACCCAGATGGCACACCCTGGACAAATCACAGTGAGATGTGTCCGACCTGTACTCTGACCTGCCCTGCATTTCAGGGATGGACCTTTTGCGATGAGGCTGCTGCTTCCGATATGATAATGCAAGGATTTGTCAGCTTCGGCTTGTCCGGCAACAAAATGAAGCCATGTGTGGTGCTTTTCTTTTCAAGCTGGGTCCTTAACACTTGGTGGAAGTTTTGGCTTGGAGCTGGGGGTGTGCTGATGCTAGGGGTCACTGTGGAGTGGGTCTCTACGTTACATATCGCGCCAGAACGCAAGTTCGGACAACTGTTGCAGACACTACTCTATTGTGGAAGGATGACACTCGCCTACATGCTAATGCTGGCGACCATGACGTTCTGTATCGAGATTTTTGCTGCTGCTATTGCTGGACTGGGGCTTGGACATGCCTGCTTCGGAAGCTGGAAGAAAGGGCTGAGATTGAATGGACCATCGCTCTGCTGCAGTCACGGGTCTGTAGATCTCAGGCGCAGACAGTCGCGCGACATTCGCGTGACTCCCTGCTTACAAGCAGACGACTGCATAATCCTGCGTGTGATGGGGATGACGTGCGGAAGTTGTGCCCAGACCGTGACTCATGCACTGGAAGGAGTTACTGGAGTTGTGTCCGCACGTGTGACCTTGGGCCCAGTGGCAGAGCCAAGCATCGGTACAGGTGTGGGTACAGCAGAGATCTGGGTGAATGCAGGATTTTCTGGGGTCGATGCTGCGGTGGCTGCCATTGAGCTGGTTGGGTTCGAAGCGCAGCCTGTGCCAAAGGCATGACAGAACCTTGTGCTGCACTTGAAAAGTTAGGTGTCAGTCTGTTTCACCGAAGCTTTGCTATCTTCAACGCTGGTGCGTGTGCTGCCTGGTTGGCACTCTTCCATCGTGTGTGCGGCAGCCAGCGTTGCGAAAAGTAAGGTCCACAAATGTTGCATGCTCACATCTCGATATGTAGCAGACCATCAAAGACAGCAAGCTTGTAGGTACTAGCATTGCGATTTTGCGACTTGTCAGGCTCGAGCCAGTGGAGAGCATCGAGTTAGTCAACATTCTGCCGCTTTGCGTTGAGTTGGAGATGGTAGTGGGACTCGCTTTGATGAGTGAACCCTCTTGATGTCTAGTGACTTGAGTCTTGTAGAGGTTGCGGTATTGCGGGTAATGTCTTGAGTCCCCGTGCAGCTGCCAGGCAGCAATGGCATCAGAATGGTCAAGGATTGAGTGTTGGGTGGCTGGTCGTCGGCTTACAGCATTTGTGCGCTTGGTTGCCTTGTTTGTGTACTGTCTGCCGACTGGAAGTGCTAGCTGTCGGCGGACAGGCCGAGATCGCCCGGCAGTTGTTGGAAGCATTCAGGCTGGATGTGCACACGGATCATACTTTCATAGGCTGGAAGCATTCCACCCGAAGTCCCTTAGCCAACGCACTGGCAGCACCGTCTGCAGAGTCTGCACCAAGAGCGGCGCTGATCCCTCGCTTTCACACCCATCCACAGGGCGCAGTTGAAGCTGTTTCTCAGCAACCCCGCGCGATCTTGAAACCCGCTGTACTCTGGCACGGCTTTTGTGTACGGGGATGGCAATGGCCTGATCATGCCGACACGTGATGCCACGCTGTGGTAGGTTACACTTGGCAGAACATGCACCGAAACTAACACACCTCCCAGGCCTGTGCCTATTCCCGTTCAAATCCCGATTTACCACAGAGCGCTGTTGCAACTTCACGCACTGTCTGTAGCAACTTACTGTAGTGGACCTGACAAACCTTCGTTCAGCGTTCTACTGAGCGTGGCATGAGGCCACTTTTGGCCCAAAAAGTGCCCAAAAGCTCCGGCTGTTTCGAGGGAGTCAGCCTTGATGTCAATATGTTTCAGCGCAGCATCACGAAGAAACGAAGTGATGACTCATGTTTACATTGCTTGTGGCGACCCTGGCGGCCCTGAGCTGTTTGGTTACGTGAGTGCCGCTTTGAAGATGATCGACAGCTTCGTGTGCGTATGGCTTGCGTCGCGCACCCTGCAGCAGAGGGTGAATTAGAATAGGCCTGCGACCACGGGCAGCCGTGCCAGCGCTGTGGCGAAACGGAAACATGGATAGAGAACTCAAGCACAGGCGTAGGCGGGTGATTCAAGCTCGGGACCCGCCGCCCCACCTTCAAAGGCAGGACAACGGGAGTTAAAACTGAAGATACAACCAACCTGAACGATTCGGAGTTTTCCATGGACTGGGCCAAAGAGCACTATCGGCAATTACGCTGACCCAACGACTTGGCCATCCTCACGATAAGCTCCAAAAAGCGCTTCGACTTAAACTTGTGCATCTCGTCCTCGCAGCCCTGGTGAAGCTTCGAGACAAATTCGACAGCTGTCCCGCGGGATTCCCTTGCTTTACCCTTGAAACCGTAAGACCTCAAGTTTATGGCTGTTTTCCGTGGCTCTGTGTGTTCTCTTCAGTTATCTTCTCTTCGCCTTTTGACATCCTCCTTCTCTCGTCACATGGTACCGAAGAACAAAGCCCTGGCCATTTGGATTTCGCCTTCAAGACTAAGCCGCCAAAGAGGAACGGCAAACGCGCTTGCCCGAAGAAAAGCTTATCGTAGCTGGCGCTTGGCATTTCTATGGTTTGAGAGAGGACGACTTGGAGTGAATCGACGTCAAGGACATCAGCAGGTTTGTGGTCGGCTTCACAAGTTTGGACCAGGAGGCCGAAAATACCAGCGGCAGACAGCAGTGCAGCCCCGCTGCCTCTTCCGACAACCGACTTGCTCACGCAAGCCGGCTTCTTCCACAAACGTAACAGCCCAGAGGTGCGTCGTCGTTGTTCTTCAGTTTAGAGACAGCCAAAACTCGAAATTGGAGGGCTTCGTTTGATCAGCAAGAATCTCCCGGGACATTTCGGCGGGAACAACTACTGGTTTCGCGCAAAAACAGGTGAAGTTTCTGGGAGGTGGAAGTCGCATGTGGTTTTTTGGTATGCCGTGGAGGCAATGGAAAGAGGGGCCATGGACCGAGCACTCCGAACGAAGAGAGCCAAGCTGAAGGGGTTCAGCCATGTTCAGCCAAGTGAAGATGGTGGACACCGCCGTCACTCGCACGAAGCTGTGCAGCAGTTGTCTCCAAATGTCACGATATTGCGACCGAAAGGCGGGTGTCCGCCAAGGACAAGCAGCTTGGGTCACAACGAGATGATACACATGATTGACCAGCTGGGAGAGCATAGGAGAACGATGCGCTTCACCTTTGAGAAACGATTTGTGGTAGGCCGTTCGGCCTTTCCAACTCGAGACATTTTTAGTTTCATTTCATAGTAGGGAGTGTTACACGTGCTGCCACGGGAGATAATGCATCAAGCACGAAAGAAACTCCTTGTGAAAACCATGCAAGGTGGGTGGACGCTGAGTCGACGCTTGCATGTTGACGTGAGTGTGGCTTGATCGAGCCGTTGGAACAATGGTCTATCCCGGACTGATGCCTTGACGATCTTGTGCTGTCACGGTGTACGTAGGTTTCGAAACATCCCGCAATATTGGCAAGAGCAGGCACTGCCATGAAATGCGGCCCCGCAGCCGCGCACCGAGAGCACCCGGAAAGCAGTGTGTGTGTGTGTGTGTTTGTGTGTGTGTGTGTGTGTGTGTGTGTGTGTGAATGTGTGTGTGTGTGTGTGTGTCTGTGTGTGTGTGTGGAAGCCTTGATGCAACACGGGGCACCTGTAGCCTGGATAGCGCAGGTGCCAATAAAGACACCTACCCTCGCTCGTGATATCAGTTCCGGACGCGGAACTGACATACCTGCACGAGCGTGTGTGACGTCCTGATAGTCTTTGTACATGGTTCGTTGCCTTTTGTTTGAGGTCATCTCACTGAGTCATTAGGCTGCGTCTCCGTGTGTTTGTGTGTGCGGAGAACCTAAACCTAAACTTCAACAGGATAGATTCTGATAGATGTCTTCTTCAATACATGCGTTTTTCCGCAGCAGGGAGGCAGTGTATGCCTGACAGTCAGTCATCAGCCAGACGTAGGTGCCGTGATGATCTCAACGTGGTCGCTGCTATAGTCGTCGCTGTACCTTGCTTGTGTTCGCTGTAAATTCGATCATGGCGCAGAGTTCTGAGTGCTGCGATTTCAAGGTTATGGTTCCAGGTGTTCCTTGGATGCAATATCTCTTTCGTATACACCATCAACAAGGTAACCCGGCTTATTGAGAGGCCCACTTCAACTTTTTCTTTTGAGTTCTCCAATGAGTTCCGTTGAGCGCATGTCTGAGTTGATATCATGCACGTGAGAACGACAAACCAGATGGAGCTCGAGTGTGAACTGGGCATGGCCTTCCGTCACGGCGCCACTAACGCGCTGTTCTCCAGGCATTATGTGTTGAAGTCACAGCCCCAGGTTTGACGAAGCGATCCTTGGATAGGTGCCAACCCACAACAGCCAGGAAAATTTCACTTGACAGGGGACGTTTGTTGAAATCATGCAAAATTGAACATCGAGATTGAGCATCAAGCTGAGTGTCCAATTGAGAAGTGATATTGAGAACCAGTTGAGAACCAGTTGGAGTTGAAGCAAAGTTTTCTTTTTGAGTTTTCCAGCTAGGTAGTTTTAGGTTTTTCTTGCCGGGTCCTTGTACGGTTCGCTAAATTGTCGGCTTGCACCGCAGCGTGTACTGCAATGGAAATCAATGAAATCAATATTGAGATCAAGATTGCCCAAAAGCCGGAAGATGTCCTAACGGCCTTTGCTGCACTTGGGCAACAGTCATCGGCGACAGCCTCGTTTTCGGGCGCGACCCAGTCGCAGCAGACCGCCTCTCCAACGCGTTAGGAGAGGCGCCTTGGCGACGTCTGCCGCAACTAGACGTTCGCCCAGCTTCTTTCCTCCCAAGAGAACTTGAGGCACTTCAGCCAGTCTACCCACAGGGGCGTGACGCAGCGCCGTCCTCGACTCGAAAAGTTTGGCAAGAAGTATCTGGTACAGCAAGTGGGGTTCGACCGAACCGCGACTTTGGCCGTTCTTTGCATTCCAGCTACAACACAGCATGAAGGGCGCACAGCCCCGTCCGGGCCCCAGGCCGAAATCCCCCCCAACAAAAATTTCGATAAGATCCTGCCGCCCCAGAACAACAACAAGAAGGTCACCCAGGGGATCCAAGCCATCCCATGCACCAACACCTCCACCAAGGTCAGCAAGATCTCCATCACCAAGGGCATCATCGAGATCTCCACCAACTGTAACAAGGGCATCATCGAGATCTTCACCACCAAGGGCATCTTCCCACAGCACAGAGGGAGGCATCGTCGGCCAGACCACCACGCAAAGACGACAAGCCGACGCACCCCCCACCAAGATGTCTTTCTCCAAAAACATTGGCAAGTACGTCGTTGACTGGAGTGCATGTGAGATAGACCAGTACCCGGTGCAACAGGCAGATTTCGCCTTGCTGAGGGAATCCTTTTGGAGCATGATGTTACGTGGGACCGTGGAGGAGATCCCAGACCAGAAACGATGCATCGATTTTACCACCTGGCGTCTCAAGACCTCATACAGAAGGATCCGCCGCCCCCACCAAGACAGAACGCATACTGATGTGGGAGCTCTGTGTGCTGCGAGACAGGGACATGCTGCCGATGGATTGGCGAAGTTCGGGTGTAACATCTACTATGACAACAGCTGCAGGAGTGCAAAGAACCTCGGCCGTGGCTGCTTGGGGTAAAGTTTGGGGAAGCCTCCAAAAGCACGACGGAGGCAGCTATGAAACAGCCAAAGCTGCAACGGAACAGTCTTCAGTCTATAGCAGCGCCAGTTGCCCTTGTGGCCGGACGTCGGCTGCACGCTGGTACTGCGAGATGAAAGGCTGCGCTGCGGAGGGCGGTTGCACAGGCTGGTCAAACGCCAAGCAGTGGAAGTGGTGTCTGATGCGAGTGATGCAGTATGCCTTGGCGCTGGCGTCCTTCAAGACTTGGTCCGAGCTTCTTGCCCTTCGTCGACGAGCTTACGCAGTGCATCAAACCTTGCGACCAAGATTCCGGAACAAGACAATCAAGCAGCCCAACGTATGCAGCAGCTGGAAGAAGAAGCAGCAAAGTCCAAGCAACGACTTCGACGAGCAGGCTTGGAAATCACACCTCAGAAGACGCTACCGGTGCAAGACCCAGAGTCGCAGCCCGAGGCGCGATTTACCTCCAGGTCACAGAAATCTCAGCCGGCGCCACCCCATGAAACTGAGTATCAGCCAGTACCCTTGTGCCGGCGGTTTCAGCGTGGAGACACCAAAAGGGCCACCGACTACCAGAAGATGTTGGGCAATCCCTTCAACGTCATGAAGCAAAGTGGACAAGCGCCTCCCTTCAGCGTGACGTCATCATACGTCATCACCAGCATCAAGAACGCTCACGGACGACAGTTTGTGGCAGCAAGCCCTCGATCGCCACGTCGCCCAAGTCCGGAAGGTCCTCGAGGAAAGCCACCGCACGAAGCCGTAGTTACAGGAAATGGCTACAAGGTGGGGATTGCCTATTCCGCTGATTACCTCGGCAGCAGCCACACCGAAAACACTGCAGCAGCTCATCGCCGCAGTTACTTTCCTCGCCTCGTGACGTGCGCAACAAGCGCATGCAGCATATCGTGGAGTGGGTGCAATCTTTGCTTTTTGTTTGCGCCGGCCATATATCTCTATATGTATATCTTTTTATATATATCTGTATATATATATATATATATATATATATGGAGATAAGAATAAGGTTCGACCTGGCTGGTCGAGTTTCTTCACCCTGTCTTTTGGTTGATGGCGCCAGACCGATTGTAACGACTCAGCAGCTCAAAGACCGACCACCAGAAAAAAGAGGGGTGCCAGAGCTATACACGTTCTCCAAGTTCGTGCGGCCCTGTGCAGCTTATATCAAGCTGAACCTCCCCAAGCTCAACAGCTCGGGCTGTGCCGAGGTTAGCAAGGAAGCCTGTTTCTGCCGCATAGGCTCCTCGAATATCACCGTCGCCAAGAGAGAGTGCAACTGAATGGCGAAATTTCGACAACTACAACAACTGAAATCTGAAAATCCCCGAAAGAGCTCGTGAAGAAGGCTCACGGCCTTGTTCCGAAAAGACAACAACCTCACATCCAGCATCCACCCGGCACCCTCGCCAAGCAGCTCTTCAAAAAGCTTTGACGCGGAATTCAAAGACAGCGACGACCGCTCTTCAACATCCTACCCAAGCAGGTGCAAGTCTGGAAGCTCCTGTATGCCATCTCCAGTGGCACAAAGCCGGAGTACGATGCACCCCGGGGGCTTGGCGGCGGCGAACACGAACACGATACAGTGACAATACTTGACAGGTTGGCCAATCACATGAAAACAGACTCGCCAATCACATGGAGAAGCAAGATCGCGCCTCCGCCTGGTGCTTAAGTTCCGCTGCCTCAGTCCCCAAGTTCAAAGCTCCCACCACATCGTCATCTCAGCCTACAACACCCTGCGGGCCAAGGAGATATGCAACGAAGACCAGATCTAGTTACGCTTGCTTGGATTCCCTATGGAAGCCAGAGCCCGCCCAGCTGCTGGATGGCGCCTTCAAGATTAAGAAACTGCCACACTGCGCGGTGTAGTTCAACGAGGTAGACCAACATCATCAATGACCTCTTCATCATTTCATGCCCTCAAGCTGCGCATCCCCAAATTTCTGAACCCGCAACTAGCTCAGAAAACTACAAGGCTTTTTTTATAAGAAGTTGCTTATGCATCATGTTTGCTGATTTGATGGTTGCTGCCACGTTCTGTTTCTTAGTCTAAGGTGCGCGTGCAGGGATAGTAAGTGCCTTGCCAGGATGCTTCCGGAAGATCAACAAGAAGAGCTGCAGCAGCCGGCCGAGCGAATTGGTGGCCCGAGACCTACTCCAACACCACCCAGAAGGGCTCAAGCGCAAAAATGCCGTTCCCCGACTGTTGGGTCCCGATCAAGCTGAAGGAACAACTCCAACTACTGCGACAGAGCCCAGTCCAAGCACAAGAAGAAGAACAACATAATCGCACTTCATCGCAGACGCAGGCCCCAAGCCCCAACCTCCATGCTCCGGCTTCCCTGCTGACCGCGAAAGCTCAGCTCCGGCCGTCAGCGAGAAGGACGACGCCAACCTCAAAACAGTCGACTAGCCACTGCAAACGTAGACACAGAAGACATCATTGCAGCATTTGCGCCAGAACTACCGGTAGCGATGATGCCACAAGCAGATCCACAAGGTCGAGAGACCCTACTTCGTTGAGAAGACCGAGGCGTAGTCTTACATCAAAATCGCAACATTCTGCGAGGAAGCAGGCTTGCTCTTTCGAGGGTTTAACGTCGCGCAAATTCCATGTCAAGCTCTTCCTACGGACGCTGCCATGGAGATCACCAGTGTGCCCAGCAGTGACCCCAGCGAGAAGCAGCCCTCCAGCTCCTTCGAAGACGTCTTTCAGCAACATCTACATCCAGCGAAACGTGCTGCGCTTCCATCAAGAAATGCGGCTGCGAGTGATTGTCGTCCGCTTCGAAAGGGACAAGCCCGGCGAGATGCAAACTTCTAGGGGCTCGAACCTGATCAGTAGTGAGGCCTTCGAAAATCTTGCACGCCTACAATGCCGACACTGCAGAGCAACACTTTCAGTTGTGGATCGGGATCATCGGCGCCACCATGCTATCATCGAGAACCTACTTCACCCGCAAACAGTATGAACTTACTATTGGTCAACACGAACATGTACTGCATCACCAAGGCGGCCACCATGGACATGCAGTCAACCAGAGCCCTACATTATGAACATGGTACGGCACTGTACTTGAGAAGACATCGGCCCATGCTCCTTGCATCGCATCCTATGTGTCCGTGTGCAGTTCAACATCTCTTGGCACGAGCAGGACTGCAGTTGTGGGCATGCGTGCAATCCGCGCAGCGAGAAGCTCTATCACTTCGGGTCGGAGAGTATCAGTGAGGGCGGGAATAAAATCCGCAGGGGGTTCACGTGCTTGTGTGGAACGCAAGCTTGAATGCGACAGTGTCTTCTTCGAGTAGCCGCGAGATTCCATTCCTGCAGCGGGGAGGTTTATGCATTTTATGCCTGAGTCACTGCCCAACGAAAACACTGTCAGTGCATGGTGAAATCTGGCCTCATCAGCCAGACGTAGCAAACCAGGGTTTGAATGGAGTTCGAGTGTGTGTTTGTGTGTGTGCGCACAGAAACAGGGCTTGAGTATTGCCGTCGGTACAGAAGTACTGTTGGTTCTGTGCTGCTAAAAAGTTGGCACTGGAAGTCTGGAGCGGCGCTCTTGGCTTCCAAAATCATTCTCGATGAGGTGTGGTCCACGGTGATCTTCGCCTCACCAGTCTTTTACTGTCTGCTGTAACGGATGCTCGGACGGCGCCGCAGCTCGTCTTGGCCGACCTTGGCCCAAGCCTTGGTCGAGGGAGAGGCAATCTCACGCTGGAGTTGTTTTGATCCTCAGCCTATACAGTAAGGCCTTGCCGGGTTGCCGCTCCCGCCGCCGCCCCTGGACAGGCCCAGACAAATCAGAGAATCGCGAGCTTGTTTACGTGGGCCATGCAGCTCCCACAGGTTGCCTGCGACTCCTTCAGTGCAAGCTTCAGCTTCGTGATGTTTGTCTGCACGTGCCTTCATCGCGTCAGCGCACAATACAATGCACATCCATGCACATGATGCGCGTATTGTGGAGCTCGTGGCAGTGTCGTGGCTCAGCGGACGTTTGGGATTGTGTCGGCCCGCAGCACGGAGGTCACCTGCCCCAAGCTTTTTCTGCCACTTCCAACAGTAGCAATGCAGCTTGACCTGCCATGGATCCATGCTGCGGCGCTGGAAAGTCGTGGGTGGAAGAAGTTCTGGTGGCATCGTAGTTCGCGAAGGCCTTGTCTAATGTCTGGAGCCGTTCTCGCTCAAAGCAGACATATTTTTTTTTTACCAAATCGCGATCAGGTCCAGATTTGGGTGCTAAATCGGTCTCCGAGCGCTTGGCAACCGGTGCCGTCATCGAGGCCATTCAAAGGCTCTAAAAGGCAGTCAACTACATGCACGCAGGTCCTGCTTGCAGGTTTCTGTGAATGTGTGCTTCGTTGCACTGGCCCAACACAGCGGAATTGAGCTTCAGAAGTAATCGTACAGTACTCGTACCATCATTGCGCCTTAAGTTCATGAACTGCTGGATAGACGTAAGATTAGTTTGTCAAGAAGCTCTGCACTGCACAGGAGGAGACAGCCTTGGCGGTCGGTACGTGTGATCGACTTCGATTTCGCAAAGTGTTGGGACAAGGACCAGAAACTGGCTGGATCAGTTTTGAAGCGAACGGAAACCGTCTTATCACCCCTGTTAAGCATGTGTCGTTTAAAGAGACGTCGTGGTTGGAGACCACGCGATACCAAGAGATTGCACAGGTCCGTGCAGTAGTTGAGGCTGACTGCTGTGAAGTTGGCGATGCTGTGTCGGAGGCGTTTCAAGGCAATCCTGGTCTTATCGGCCCTGATGCTTGCCCTGGCGTTGGGTATCTATTGTGGAGAGACCAATCTGCCAAGCAGACCGGGCTTCCTTTACCTATTCCCGTCTCCGAGCAATGGCGCGCAGTCGTCTGCAGCAGTACAGAGTTTTCTGAACAGGCAGTTTGGGATGGTGGTGTCGAGAACTCGTCGGGGTCTTTTTCGCTGGGGCTTCGGCCGTTGTTCCCTTCCGAATGTATCGAGCGGCTACACGTAGGTTCTGATGGAAGAAATAGTAAGTTGAGAGTGTCTGTTTTGAGCGATGCATCAAAAAAGCAAGGCCCACTTCGGGCGAGGGAGGTTGTTCAGTCCACTGTGACGGTGTCAGAAGAACCTAGTGCGAAGCCCTTCCGACGGTTTCATCTACGCATTGACTGTGATCGAATCACTGAAGCTACCGACAAGGGTCTCGGCCAGGAGATGTCTCGCGAACTGGAGCGGTACTTCGAGCCTGGTTGTGTTTTGTGCACTTGTGAAGTTTGGCCCCGTGCAGACGGTCGGACGGAGTTGGTTCGAAGATTGCTTGGCGGGAGCATACTCATGGAGGCTGCACCAGGCCTAAAGCCTGCAGGTAAACCAGATTTTTCAGAGGCAATCCCGTTGCTATCCAGCCAAATCCTTTTCATGCTGGACGTGGAGACTCGAGTCTGGCTGTCAATCCGTGGCTTCCACTTGATCGACATTTGGCGGGGAATACGCAGGCCCTTTCAATGGGCAGTGTTTAGTGGAGTGAATGCGGCCGCTTCTCAAATCTTCACAGTGGGCAGCGCTGCTGACACATTGGCTGAGCAGAAGCTGGGGCTTGATTTGCCTGTTCAAGCCGTCGACGAGCTGCGGGGCATTCTGCCGGAATGCAAGAACAGTGTTGGCGAGAAACACGGCCAATTTACAGAAGGCTCGGTGGACATATTGAGTTTTATTGGGCTATTGAACCGCGTTTGCAAGAGAGCCGACACGTGCTCGGACATCTACCGAGAGTTTACTGATTTAGGCTCTGGCAGAGGCCATGCAATTCTGGCTGCTCATGCTTTTTTCCCGTTCCGCAAATGCCGTGGGTACGAAATCGACGAAGAAGCATTTCGTGCTGCGGAAATGTCAGCTCGCCACTACGTGCGTTCCGGACTTGTTATGCAAGCTCGCTCGACTGCCTTACCTCACAAGATGTTTCTTCAAGCAGACTTCGTCAAGGAGCCAAACTGGACAGATTCTTCTGTTGTCTTTGTGAACGGTGTAACTTGGCCCAGCAATCTTATCGCGGAAACAGCAAGGCTAGCACTGCGACTCAAGCCAGGTTCTGTGATAATGGTGGTTGCTCGTCGCTTCCCTGTCGAAATGGATTTTCTGCAGGCCTTCGATGTAAGAGGGGAAGCTTGCTTGCTGAGCTTCTCCCGAACACGGCCTTGTCAAGTGTTTGTTTACCAGCGTAGATAGCCGGTTCTGGTTTCACCATGCGGCAACCGTCTGTCGGCCTCATGCCTCAAAAAGATGCATTAGCGGGTTCCGTGCCGATTCCTTCCCGTAAGCCGCACATGAAATTACATGGTGGGCGCACACTGGGGAGGTCCGTGTTTCTTGCCTCGGGCCTGTGGTTCTGTTCATCAAGAGATCCAACAGAGAGGTGCCGTGAAAATCGGAAAGTATGTACTTCCGAAAAGTTGACGTGTGGTGGGGTGCCGGCAGATCGTCCTTGATCAAAACCCAGGCACAGCAAGCCGCAGCGCCGTCTTCCGGATCGGAGGCTGACAGATTTGCACGAGTTGAATTCCGCTTCGTAGCCCATGCTTAAGCAGAGTACTTGTGTAGGAATGGATGCAAAGCCCGAGCACGCTGCTGGACGTATGGTCGTGTGGGTGGCGGAACCCAGCAAACTGTAGTGAATGAGATTGCGTCGTCCAAGTCCAGCTCGCAGGCTTGAATGGCTCAGGTGCTTGCTGTTCATTCTTCTCTCCGGTCGCCATCCTTTCAACTGTGATCTTGGTGGGCGACTGCTGGTGCCTGAGTCGCTTACATTGAGTCACGCAAGAGAATAAATGGTGGTTCGCAGGGTGCCGAGTGCCGTTCTGGGAATCTGGGGCTCTGTTCCCCCGGAACCTGATTGGCGACTGCCGGTGTCCCAGCCATTGCTGTATGATCCAGCGTGGCGAAAGCACGCGTTCTGAAGATTCTGAAGGTTACCTTCTGCCTCCTCCACCTCTCTCTGCGCACAGATGCTGTCGTGGGATGTGAAGGTTGCAGGTCGGCTTGTACTCGAATTCGAGAAGACATGCTCGAGCAGGCACGCCCCTCGGCAGCCGAGTGCCTACGGCACTCCTGGCTCTCAGCAGAGGATTCCGACACGATGGCCCTGCCCATGGAGGCCACGTCAGCACAATTCTCCGACTAGCAATGTGCAAGCGTGTGCCAGAGCATTCCAGGCCCTCGGCAACCTGTTGAAAGCTCATCACAAGTCCAAGTTGCAAGAGGCAAAACTTCAGGTTGCGCGTTGCTGAGTTTGGGTTGGTGCATGTCTGGCCAAGATCACCGCTGGACTTGCGATATCAGAGCAGATCGCTAGCCCCTTCTCCGCCGCTTGCTCCCTGGTCTCCGTCGACACTTCGTGCCCTGGGCATGTCAACGTCTATGCAGATCACAGCGAGGTTGGCGCATCCTTGGCTGTGAAGCATGCCTTTGCTGATTTGGCAGGCCGTGATAACGGTGATAGGGTTTCGAGAATTCCTTGAGTTTCGAGAATTCCTTGAGTGCGGTAATAGTGCAACTGCTCAGACTGCAAGGTGATGCGGCCGCTGGTGCAAAGGCGGCCTGCAACTTTTGGGTATGCTGATGGGTTGCCGATACGTCTCGAGCTTCATGGCCGTTGGAGGAACCAGTGATGGCCACTGTTGCAGCATCAGAAGCGAGCAGAGCTCTTGAGAAGCTGGGAATGTCTGCAGCAGGCTCAGATCGCAAGTTTTCCGCGTCGCTGAGAAAGCAGGACGCAGGTCCAACTGCATTGTCGCTGAGGACAAAGGTATCGAGAAGGTCATCAAGGCATTTGCTGATGATGCAGGACGGACACACGCTGTGAACACTGGCAGCATAGGACGCAGCAGGTAAAGGTGTGCATTGCAACTCGATCTCGGCTTGTTGAAGGCGTTTACGTCTAGTGGAAGCTTCATGGACTGGCGTAATGGTTGGGCTTGCTGTTTTTCTGTCTCCTTTTCATGTTACGTGCGACAGCGCTCAGCGAAAGGCTAATGTTTGAATCGGGGCTCATACAAAAAACCCCACGCGACCGCAAACGACCTTGCATCACGCTGCCGGCGAAAGCAGCAGGTCCCTGCTACATCTGTTACCATGAGCAGAGGCGCTAGCGAAGCAACCAGATATGGATGGAACGACAGGTGCAGGCGCAGCTGGCGAACATTTTTAAAGCCTTCTACATCATCCGGCCAACTCAACACCCTCGACCAGAGATCGGCTCATACCAAGGATCACATACCCAAGCAGCAACAGCTCGAGGCATCAAATCCTTTCCTCGTGGCCATAAACGGCTTGTCATGCACAGCCTGTTCCACGACACTCCCCATTGTGCCACACTGCCGTCAACTCCCAGACAGGCTTGTAGCGCTGTTGTTTGCCGGTAAGCTGGGCGTAGACCGCTTTTGCGCAGCGGACATGTTGGTCTCCTTCGTGCTGGTATTTGGGGATGTGGGTCCTTCCTACCTGTATTTGCCGCGGCACGCGTGCACATCCTTCTTGACCAGCTCACCATCCGCGTGCGCCAACAGGACAAGGAACTCTTCATCCCAAGTTCCACGGAGTCCTGGCAAAGATGGGGTAACCGGGCATCGCAAACCAGAGCCTACCACAAGACCATTTCAGGATCACCATCCAGGGCCTCAGACCAGCGAGGACGACTCGCGATTTGCAGACCGGAGCGGTGGGCCATGTTGGGCCTGACAGGCAACGCATGGCAACGCCATGGCACCGCGTGGTAACGCTGTTTGGCGGTGTCAGTGCGTGCAGTGATGTCACGCCCCGGCGCACGTTGCTGAACCAGCTCACGGCGCGCTAGACCGACCGTCACAAAATGAGTGCGAAGGGCAGTGCATACCGATTGCGACCTGGGTGGGGATTTGCGCTTAGACTTGTTGCATTAGCAAGTTGCAAACGATTGACTGTAGTGGATGCTTATCCCTGTCGATTGGAAAACAAGTGACAGATTCCACTCCCGTCCCTGTTTCGAGCTCCTAAATTTGTTCCTAGGACTTCATTCTAACTCTGTGTTCGTCCCTTCTGTCGATTGGAAAACAAGTGACAGATTCCACTCCCGTCCCTGTTTCGAGCTCCTAAATTTGTTCCTAGGACTTCATTCTAACTCTGTGTTCGTCCCTTCGGGTCACGTCTAACCGACCCCTCTCATCGGGAACTCGCCACACTGAGCATAAATCACGAACAATATCATCATGCACTGGTGTCAAAGACGCTCGCATGAGAGAAGACTGCCCAGCCCCAGTTGGTGAAAGGCTTTATGAATTATTTTGGCACCTATATGCATGCCAGCATCATTGAGCATCATTGTTGAGGCTGTGTCGACTACCAGCGCCTCATCTCTCACTGCACTGAGTTGGCGGAGGCCGCGCGGACGCTTGGGGTCGGCGTGGATCGGGCCGCGTTTGAGAGGATCTCCTTGACCATGCACTATGGCGGGTCTTCACCGCAGTCCGGGGCCGAGTCGGGGCCGAGTCCTCTTCTCAGCTTTGTTTCGTTGAGACCCAGGCCGGTGAAGATCACCGAGGAATTCTGGGAGCTGCTGAGCTGGAGAAGGCTTTGGCAGAAAGTGCTGGGGAAGGTGCTCCAACTGCGAGCAGCGAGCAGTCGTTGCTGCAAGTACCACGTTTGCATCGAGGTGGCGGAGCTGACCGGGCAGGTGGTGGTGAGCCCGATTCGCAAGGGAGAGGCACTCAGCTTGTGGCCACATATCATATCAAGAGCCTGCCAACAAGATGCAATCACACTACCACTCATTCGATGAGCCTGCCCATGTAAGGCCCTTTGGCTTGGAAATGAAAGCCAGTGACATCGTGAGGCAAGTGGCATGCGGCCGGCAGCAGGTGCCAACCAACCCCAATGTGCAGACTCATGATCACAGCTCATAGTCTCCTTCATGCCAACCTGCCATGTTGTAACGGAGGTGACCTTTGAAGAACTTCGATCCGCGGTCATACAACGCCAGTCGTCGACGCAGGTGGCTGAATTGAGCTGCACACGTAAGCATGTGTCGCCTTGCGGCCTGGATTTTGGAAGTGTCTTCTTTGCACGGCTCTAGGCTCCCTTCAGCTGCATGCCTTGTTGAAACTGTCCTCTGGTGCTGGAAGATTCATGAGGCAACCAGTGGGACAGATTGAAGAAGCGGCCTTTGCCGAACAAGAGCCTTAGGGTCTGTTTTATTTGGCGGATGTGCCGTGCCAGTTTGCGCACTCTCGACGTGCGAATTTGCGGGGCAAAGAGGCTCTACAGTCTCGCTCCCCATTGACTGGCATGCGTTGTAGTTAGTCAATCGGTTAGCCTTAGGCACACAAGTTGGCCATTTTCCAAAGAGGAATGGACTTGTGTCATGGCTCTCACGAGAAAAACATTGCGCATATCCTGCTTGCGGGTGCCAACACGGTCTGCAGAACGTTTCTTACTGATGTAGGCCTGGGTCGCGAGAGCTTCGCATGTCCCTGACACAGAAGTGCTTGCCAAGCTGCTTTGACGCCGAAGTCCAAACACACTATTCACTAGACCCAGTAGACAACTCAGAACAGGCAACATGCAACGCAGGCTTAGTCACTCAAAAGAGCAGCAAAGCACAGCGAACGCGATTGCTTTTTAGCAGAACTTTTAGCATGCCGCCGAAGGCCGCCCGCTCCCAAGAGAGTTCGGAGCATCAGCATTGCAGCTTGACGCAGCTTGCCATCGCCTTGACTCAAGGTAGACAAGTCTAAGCAGAAGGAACGCGCACCTTGTATCAGTTGCGATGTTGCACACGTCGTGTTTGCTGTAAGCAACCCTTCGACTGAAGCGAATTGTGAGCTGCTGAAAATGGCATCCAAGGAAAAAATTGCCGTCGACAAGACCTTCGGACTGAAAAACAAGAACAAGAGCAAAGTGGTTCAGAAGTCCTTCGTCAGCACTTTGCCATGACCGTGTGCTCCGGTCGCCAGCTGAAATACTTCAAGCCAGTTCAACGAGACAGCCATCAGTCCATCCGCCCAGCCAGCCAGCCCCGCAGCCAGCCACCCAGGCAGCCGTCCAGAGCCGCCCAGCCAGCTACCGAGCCCAGCCCCAGCCATCAGCCAGCCACCCCCCCACCCAGCCGGCCAGCCAGCCACCTAGGCCAGCCAGCCACCTAGGCCAGCCACCCAACCACCCACCCAGCCACCCAGCCCGCTGCAGCCACCCAGCCAGCCACCCGCCAGTTGCCCAGCCACCCGGCCAGCCAGCCAGCCGCCCAACCCAGCAGTCATCCAGCATCATCTTCCATCCATCCATCCATCTATCCATCCATGCAATTGGATGTCCGAGAACCTGAATCGGGTTTAATGGCAACAGTATGGTGCATGCCGCATGATCAGCCGCAACTCAGCCTGATATTTTCGGTAGCATCCCACGAGGAAGATTGGGCACAGGTCAGTGTTTCAATCAATCGATCAGTCAGTCAGCCAATCAACCAAGCAATCCATAAATCTGTCCGGTCATCCATTTATCCATCCATCGGAGGCCGGGAGGGAGCGAAGCTTATTCCAAAGTTAAGAGCAACCTTTTCCGTGGCTGTTTCTGGTTCAGGGTCCGAGGTCGGTCTTGAGCTTCTGAACCACAGCGTGTCACTACTTGAGCTGGCGAGTCATGTCCCATCCTCCCGAAATTGAACAATCAATCTTCACTGCACTGGCTTCCAAGCCAGAATGAGTCTGAATTCGTTTCATGTAGAAGCCGCCGTCATCCGCCGCATTTTACGAAAATGCATCTGCAAGTTGCAACTTGAGGCCGCCTCAAGGAAGTTCGTGCGTGGCGAGCATTGATCTAAAGTAGGTTATTGTGTTGGGATTTATATAAAACGGTTTTTAACATTTACGCTAGATCTCAAACTCGCTGTCCCGCCATGCTATAATATACCGTAATCTACCCAAATCTACTCCGCCCGGCTGCCAGTCCACAAAGTGTGGGAGGTGGTGTGGGAGTTGGGTATGGTCATGCCTTTCATTCAGGCCTTTGCGCTTCAAGGACTGGTCTTTCCGACGTACACGCAACATCAACGTCAGAAGGTATACATTTTGTGAAATCATAGTAGGTTTAGCGCAAACGATCCGATAAAGTTGCGCGAAAGACGCCCCCAAAGAAGCCCCGTCGTTTGAAGGCCATGGCACACGCCATGGCCCACGACTTGGAGTCGGCTTTTGCAGACATGTGCAGCATGCACTAGTTGACAAAGGCATCGTGCCGACATGCCGAAGCTGTCGGCTCGAGTGCCAAAGTTTTCTTTTCTGTGAGCCATGTCGTGCTTGCAGAGCAGTCTGGACTTCGCGAAGAAGCAGCTGGCTGCGTTCTGCGTCTTGACCGGCGTGGAAAGAGACGAGGTCTACGACAGGGGGCTGGAGGAACTGAGGCATTCCCTTCTGATTCTTCATTCCTGGGTGTCACGCGCGGATGCTGCTGCTATGCTTCCTTTGATAGATCTTTTGACTAGTCTTCATTGTGGCAGCTTGGAAGAAGAAGAAGAAGTTCGCGCCGGAGGTAGCCCATGCACTGTTCTCTGCCACCGGGTGTGTCACGTCATTGGGCGCGGCGGCCTTCGAGACGTTATTTAAGATAACAATAGTGTAACTCCAGCGGGGGCTTAACCGATCCTACTTCCGGGAGGGGGTTGAGGGCGCCTAACTGTTGAAGCAAACTGATAAATCTTCTCGCAAGACTGGTTGGGCAGTCCCACGTAGGGACTACCCGGACTTCGAGGTCTCCCGATAGGAGGATCCTCACTGTGGGTTCGGCCCGTGGCCTAGCCCAAGCGCGAGAAGAGCACGAAAAATAAGTCATGACGATACACTCATGCCAGCTTGTTGGGGGTACGAGCTAATTCTGTTTCTGGAGTACACCGTCAGTTCGTACGTGTCCGAAATGAAGTTCTCAGTTTGCTGCTGTGCGTGAAAGGTGGTCCATACACGACTGTCCAAAAAAAACCCCGCCTTACGGTCGCGACGCCATGGCCGGTTCGCCGCCGCCGCCGCCCCCTCGTCCCCCGCCAGTGTCAGCTTTCCCTTTTCCTTTCCCTCCTTTGGTCCCCTTGCTTTTACCTCCACCCTTCCTTCCTTTCTCATGCCGCCTCGTAGCAGGGCCTCGATCCGGGAAGATCTGCACGCAGCTCGGTGTGTTGCCGTCCCCTGTCTTTCCCAAGACGAAGAGAACCCAGTTGAGCTCCTTGCGCACTCCTTCAAACAGAAGTCTGCTCGGCTCTCCGTTCTGGAGCCGTAGGTTCCACCCCCGCCCCGCCGGCTGCACCCACTCCAGCAGACCCAAGTCTGCCAGGGGGGCAAAAGCTTCCCCTGACGCGACTCGGGCGGCACACCCCGCTTACTTTTACTGAGGTCACCTGCGAGTCGCTGCAGCTCCGTCTCGTCCTGGGCGCGGGCCAAGGTAGCTGACACTTCCTCCACCAAGGCGGTGGCGGCGGAGGAGCGCAGCTGGCTACGGGGGAGCGTCCCCGCCTCCACCCGCTGAAACAGGTCAGCAAGGGCAGCAGAACTCTCCACACGAAGGTGTCTGTAAGCCGTCTCCCGTTCTGCCTGTAGTTCGAGCTTAGTGAGGCGTTGGTCAGTCTCGCCCCTGTGCATGTGCACAATACGTGATCAGGGACCCTAGTTGACTGCGATCTTGTCTGTCTGTTCACCCGCTGCTGCATGCCGTGTTACTACTCATGCTCCTGAACGCTTCTTGGAGAGCTTCCCAATCAGCCCGTCCCTTAGCGCTTCCTCCGCATGAGAGTAGCGCTCATGGTTCTTGCGCGCCTGGACCGTGCCCAGCACCTTACCGCAATATTTACATGTCTTATTGGCGTCGCCCGGTCCCCGGCAAATCGGCTGATGCTGGGCAAGATCCCCTGCTCTAAATTCCTCCTGACAGATGGGACAGGTGACTAATTCATGCCCACGGGGGTGTCTACGCTCATACGTAGTGTGAGGCCCACGACGAACTCTGCTTTTTGCTGCTCCTTTGCCCACCGCCGTCGATGGTCGTGCGCGAGGTGTCGGATCCGTGTTGTCAGGGAGCATCTCGAGCCATCGGGCACAGTGTGGTGATACCCTGCCTAGAGCTCCCCTTGCCGCCATTGCATCTGCAATATCATTGCCTCGATTGCCACTGTGCCCCTTTACGTGCTTAAAAATGACCTGAAACTTCCTACGTGCCGCGCTCACGAGCGTGGCCACCGACTCCGCCAATGCCTGATTTTCTTGAGCTCGGAAGAGTCTTGTGGCTATCCCATAAGCGTATTCAGAGTCATAATGCACATACACGATACGTGGCCAGTCTTCCGGCATACGGGTGTGTACGTCGAGTAGCCATCTACATGCTTCTCCTATAGCAGTGAGTTCCCCCGTGTTGTTAGAGTGCGTGGTAGCTCCCAACCACATGGGGTCGTGTGCCTGCGTTATGACAGGACCGTATAGTCCCGCGAGCCACGGATCTCCCTCCGTCCAAAAATCCTCCTCTACCTGTGACTGCTCGCCTTCAAAAGCCACTACCCCCCACCCTGCCATTTGCGTGTTGCGGTCTCCACCGGATCCATCCGTGTAAACATGTAGGGAGGTAGGTAGGGGCAGCTGTGTCATGGCATCATTCCAGCCCACCAGATCATCGATCTCGTCTATCGCATCAAAGCGCGGTAAGCGTTGTTTTGCTGCACAAGAGTGTGTTTTCAGTTGTCCTGCCCTCCTAAATGTCTGCAGGCATTGCGTGCAGGTGAAGGATTGCACCGTGGTGAGCTTCGGACTACAGATGGCATGTTCTGCCTCGTAGTGAAACGCTAAACTGTTGTATTTATCGAACTGCTGTTGGCACACTGGGCACGTAGGTGTGCCGTGTCCCCTCGGAGCCCGTCGGTCTGTCCGCGGCTTGCGACCCTTGGGACGATACATTTCTGTCTCCTGTCCCGGTGCATGTCCTTTGCGACGAATGCCCATTTCGTCCTCACTATCCTCATGCTCCCGATCTACTTCTGGCGTGCCCGCTGGTAGCGCCCAAGCTGGGATAGGTTGGCCTAGGTGCCATCTATCCAATTCCTTTTCCTTTGCCTGTTTGACTGTCTCCGAGGGGAAAGCCTTCAAAATCCTATTTCTCCAGTCTGAACGGTTTTGTGCGAGGCGAAACCAGTCCATTTCTGGGATGCACGCTTGCCGTAGACATGAATTGAGCCACTGCGCCTGTTTGAAAGGGCATCGCATTTTAGCCTTATGACCTTCTGCCCATCCAAACATGATCTGCTTCTGCGGGGATTCCGCCGGCATTCTTGCTACGTGTCCTAACCACAAAAGGCTAGCCCTTCGGACGGCTGAGTCGAACTTTTCCCACTGCACCAGGTTTCGCATAACCTCGTTTGTGATCCCTGCTTGGCGAAGTTCTTTCAGGCGATAGCCCAAGCTGCGCCGTATGGCCATGTGAATGATTCCCTGCATGCGACTGATTTGGTTGGTCTGCCAGGAGCGGGTGCGCGAAAAGCTCATGAGTGTGCCTTTGACCACTGACTTAAGGACCCTGATCCGCGTGGAGGTGCTTAAATCCTTTCGCTTATACTGTTTGGTACGTCCCCGGAGCCAAGCGCCTGAGATCTCCACCGCCCGACTGGCCGCTTTTTGTGCACATCTGTGTGTTTCTGCTGCGTGGCCCGCTCGCTCTGCCAGTAGTGTTCCTAGATGTTTCACAGTGGGGCCCTCCCCTAACCACGGCACATCCGTGGGTGCTCGAACTGTTGACGCTACTCGAAGACCTTCCGTTTTATCTGTGTTAACTTTGCCCGCGAAATCCTCCACAGTTTGCGTAAAAATGGTCTCCGCCGCTCGAGCCTCCTCCGCTTCGCCTACGATGCCGGTATCATCGGCATAGGCAAAGTCCCCAATGCAAACTCGCTTGATGTTGCGTCCTTCCTCCTCCCGATCCGTTTTACGCTTGGCGACTTTACCATCGACCTTAAATACCCAATCCAAACCGGGTTGATGCTGATTGGACAGAGCCTTTCTGCCCCGTCTCGCTCGGAACACTTCCATAACACAATGATGAAATACATTGAAGAGTATCGGTGACGAGGGACAACCTTCGCGTAAGCCCCGTTCCGGGATAAAGTGCCCCGATACCTTTCCCTGAAAACGAACTTTGCACGATGGGTCTTCATGGATGCCTTTGAGTACTTTGAGGAAGCCTCGTGGGCAACCTTTCCTCTGCAAGGCTGTCCACAGTGACGGCCGCGATACTTTTGGATACGCCTTCTCCAGATCGAAGAAACGGAGTACATAAACCTTACTGTGCGCCGACTGTGCTGTTTCTTCCAGGATGCTTCTGGTTATCTGCTGGGCGTCGTCCACCCCTGACCCGGGTCGAAAACCAAACTGCAGCGGGTTCATCCAGTTTTGTGTCCAACGTGACAGTCTTTGTGCGCATATCCGTGCCAGAAGCTTGGAGCCTACCGAAAGAAGGGTGATCCCTCGCCAGGTGTTTTTATCTTTCCAGTTTCCTTTGCGCTTCCAAAATGGTACCACGGTGCCTTCCTTCCATGCTTTCGGCCAATGTTCAGATTCACGCCCATCCTCCGCCGTGCTGGCGTACTGCCAAGCATCCGTAATAAACCGAAACATTTGGCGTTGAAGTTCAAGTCCCGACCATTTAAGAAATTCCGCCAACATCCCATCATCGCCTCCGGCTTTGCCTGTTTTCATTTCCCTGATGGCCCTTTGCATCTCCTCCCACGTAGGTTCATCATTCAGTTCCGTCCACTCCTCTAGCCCCGCAACATCTTCCCAGACCCTCTCCGGGACCTCCCCCTTACCCGCCTGAATCCGTGCGAAGTGTTCCTTCCATGCATCAACTTCAGCGTTTGTGCTCGCCCGTTTCCGCCCTCCATCCTTTTTGCCTGGCTTCACAGCTCCTAGGATTTGCTTGACTATCTTGAAAACCCCGAATGCATCCGGCGTGCCGATCAAGGCATCCGCAGCATGAGCCCTATCCCGCAACCAGGCCTCCTTCCATCTGCGTACTGTGAGTGTCTTTTCCCGCCTGGTCGCCTGAAGTCTGCGCCGGAAGTCGGCCGCTACCTGTGGGTCTTCCTGTGCTCTTGCCGCCTCATCTCGAAGCTTAGCTTCCCGAATGGCGGCGTCCAACTCTAAAGCCTCCCTCGCGTGTTGTTGCAGCCATGGTGCTCCTTTAAACTCTACTAAGATTCCACAAACCTCCAGAGCCGCGCTGCGGCATATGCGGCAGACGGTTTTCCACTTCTGCGTAGCATTGGGCTCCTGCTCTAGTTCCAAACGAAGGTCCCTGAGACGGCTCTCTACAAGAGCCTGCCATTTTTCCCGCAGCTCTACCGCCGTAGGCCCTGAACCGCGAAGAGCATCGAGATCCGGGCGCTGCGCTGAGCTGTTCCGAGCGGTTTTGGGGGCCCACCACTTTCCTACCCTGAGTATGCATTCTACCGGGTTATGGTCCGTGTACGGGGTCCACGGTACATCGACATTGGGTCCATCATAAAGGATGCGACAAGACTGTAGGTGCCAAATATCGCGGTGACGAATAAGGAAGTGATCTAGCTCGTGATCTGTGCGGAAAC